TTATGTTTAATTAATAATTAAACATAAAGTTAGTGGTTAATTAGCAATTAATCACATTTAAACCCTAATTAGCCGTGAGAATTAGGGTATTTTTTTCCCAAAATGTAACAAGTGCCGTGATCTTTCCTTAGCCCTTAGGAAAGAATTTTCAACCAATCAAAGCAAGCTACTTGTCAATCTTAGGATGTGCTTAGTCACCATAAGCTTACTCATTGATCAACAAGTGCTAAGCATAGAAGAAGCCACATCATTATGGCGTGGCCATCACCCTCTAATCGGCCCTTATAAAGCATGGAGAGATTGGAAAAATTTTCCTCATTTTCCCTATAGTACATTCAGAACATCTTCACCATAAGTTACTCCTTACAACAGCCACTAAATTCAAGCAAGGTTCCAACAAATTTTCCCTTAAATCCTATACCATCGCACGGCAACTAAGGCAAGGCCTATCGCACGGAGTCACGCGAGGAAGGGGGAAACTGCGCTTAAGTTCCGAATTCCGTCGAACGTCCGTAAAGGTATTCTTTTCCTCCTGTTAGAATCAGGTTAATAAGATGATTTCAGAGTTAAACGTTTGGGAAATTCGAGTACAATTTCGCTATAAGCCGTGCCCTAGGTTCGATTATTTAAGTAAGCTCATACTCGATTTATTTTCGTTTCAGTCCGGCAAATCCCGAGCATTCAGTGATGGTTTAACCTCTAATTAATTTTTCATGTTAAGTTTGATAAGTATTGTTGAGTAAAGTCGAGGATTGCCGGTGAGTTGGCCAAAGCCGTCGCTAGTGTCGATCGCACGTAGCTACGGGCGGCCATGAGGCATGATCTTGTGAGTTGAGTATAAGTCATGAGCAATTCTGTTTCCTTTAGCCTTTATTTGATGTTTAAGGTTCAGTTAAGCAGGATCGGTCGGTATAAGTTGGCTTTATTTTCATGTTATGGCTTAAGGAAGCGGGCTGCGCACATAGCGCATGTCCGCGGGGCCATAGAAGGCTTGATAGCCTTATCTTTCAATATGGTCAAATTGTCCCGACCAGTTTGTATTTAAAAGATCATGTTATGTCAATTTATAATTATTCAGTTCATGTTGGTCGAAGGATTGTTGAGATTGTTCGAGTTTTGGCCAAGGGCCGTAGGCCTCGCACATAGCGAGTGCGCCACGGCCGAGGGGCTAGGGTTACAAGTCAAGTTCAGCC